TTGTAAACAGGTGGGGACACACTTGGAGGTCACAGGCCAGCTGGTGAGAGAGAAGACCCCGGAGAGGTCTGAGGACAGAGCAGGGAGGCTCAGGACAGCTGACACCAAAGACTGACACAGCTGAGGCAAGTCCACTCCTGCTGGGCTCTTCCCAGGGATGCTCTTCATAAATGCTCCAGTGCAGTGGCACGCGATGAAATGTTACTCAGGCATCAAGAAAGACAAACTCTCGCCATCTGCGTAACAAGGATGGAGCCGGAAGGGTACACTAGCCCATGGAGTCAGAAGGAAGAAGACAAATACCGGATGGTCTCACTGATACGTGGAATATAGAGAAAGCAAAAAAAAAAAAAAAAAAAAATCAAGAAAAAGACAAAACTAGCAAACTGACCACAGAACTGAGGTGCACAGCAAAGGAAGGAGAGTGAGGGGGGCGAGACAGGAGAGGAAACACAGTGATGGTCCACGGGTGTGTGGCGGTAGCGAGAGCTAGGGGGACTACTGAAAGAAAAAAGAAATGCTCTGGTGCCGAGTGAGGCCTGAGGCAGGGCACCTGAGAGCTGAGAGGAGACAAGAGGCTGCCCACACAGAAGAGCCTTCATGACTGATGCCTGAGGGGAAAGTGTGTGCAGGGGCCTGGGTTAGGGGACTGACGGAAAGGGTGACTGACAGGCGACGAATACTTGAAGCACAGTTTGGGAAAAACACAACAGGAAAGCACCATAAAGGGAGGATGTGATCCCAGGTCCACCCGGGGGGGTGGCACTCCATGTATGGTTGGTGTTAAAATTCTTCTAGCAAACGCCAACAGCTTGATAGCTGTGATCAGCTCTAGAAGGGAATCAGCCAGACTTTTGAAAGTTCCCGGAAGAATTCCTCCCTCATTCCTTCTCATGTGCCATCCCCCTCATACAAGCTGTTCTCAGAACACAGATAAAGGCCCGTCAGCCAGAGAGGAACCATACTCCAGACATCTCATGTAATGCTTACTTATCTCCAGAACCTTCCATGTCTTAGATGTGCCTTTCATCTGTCCCCCCTGATCCATTTACCCTTGGCATGGTCTCCAGGTCAGCTCCTTCCCTCTAGCGCCCATGCTGCCTCCCATCACCTCCAGCGATCCTCTTTTCTCATCCCTTCCCTGCCACTTGCTTCTTCTCTAATGCATATAGTTCTAGGACTTCAGAGACAGACTGATTCCCAGCTGGTCTTCCCGGATACTCTTTGGTTCCTGAGGAAACCTAAATGTCAAGTCCAGGTTCCTTAGCCCGGCACACTGAAGACTGACCGACTTCTCCAGGCTCCCCTGTGAACTTCCATATTCCAGGTGAGCAGCCTCAGAAGACCTAGAAAGACTGGGTCACAGGTCTTGTTCCCACAGTCCACACCTTCAGCATCATCAACGGGAACCCAGGTACAGACTCTGCGCTGCGGGAGCACCAGGGAAGAGCCCCATCTCCACGCACGCTGGACATGGGAAGGGCCTGGACCTACGCCACACCTTTCCCTGGTGAGGAATGTGTCCCTGCAGAAAAACTATGTTTCTAATGTGCATGTCGGTGATGAACCCGCATAGTCAATGCACCGCGAGCTGAAGCCAACATGTCACTCACCAGAGATTCGTCCATGGTCGCTGCTCTCACAGACGCGCGAGGGCTCGGGAGCGGCGCTGGGGGCGCTGGGGTCCAGCACAGAGGACGGAGGCGGCTGCCGGGGTCCGGGAATCTCCTGGCCAGAGCCCGCCACACGCTGCCTGGAGACACCAGAGAGTCACCGCGTGTGGCAGCGGGTGGCACTTCTAGCAGGGCAGGAAGGGCCCCGAGTCCACGCGCGGCAGAGCCTGGGCGGACGGTTCACCACAACTTAGTAAAAGGTGACACTGCCCACTGCCTGCGCCACGGTCACGCAGGAGCAACCGTCTCAGAGCTGAGGAGTCGCTGCAGAGTGTGGACTCCACTTCCAGCGAGACGACCTTCCCGCCCTCCACTCCGGGACTCTCCACAGCGCCGCGTCCCCTGGGTGCCCACGTGCGGGCGGGAGGCGGGAATGCAGCGGCCAGCAGGACGCCGCCTGGGGGGGAACGCGCAGCGCGCCCGGAAATTCAGTCCACAAGCCCCTAACGCCCCAGGAACTCCCCGCCACAACCCCGCCCTGCAAACCCAGTTTCCCGACACAGGGCCGCCTCCCTGGGCAACCCGCGGGCCTCTCCCGCCCCACCTGGGGTGCGCGAAATCTCGCCCAGGCCCCCCCCAACCCGAGAAACGCCGCCGGGCTCTCCCCTCCCTCACCGCCCGACTTTCGGGGGGCCAGAGGAGTCAGCGCGCATGCGCACAGGCGGACCCGCGCTTCCCCAAGCCCCCGCCTCGGGGACCCCGTCCCCCGCCCCGGGAAGACCCCGGCAGCGTCCGGGGACAGGGCCGGGCGGCCGCGCCGGGGAAACCCGGAAAGGCCGAGACGTTCTCCCCAACGGCCTCCGCCCCCGCCCCCCGCGCGCCCCGGCGGGAATCGGCTCCAAAGCGTCCGACTCCACGGGGCAGGGGCCCCGCTCGCCCGCGCTCCCCGCTCCCCAACCCGCCCGGCGTCTCCGCTCCCCGAGCTCGGCCTCCCGGGACAAACCCCGCGCTCACCTCAGGGCGCCGCAGCGCTCCGGAGACGCCGAAACTTCCGGACGCGCAGAAACTTCCGGACGCGCAGATCGCGGAAGCCCCGCCCAGAAACCTCCGCGGGAACCACGGCGGCGCGAGACTACATTTCCCACAATGCCCTGCGCAGCCCGTCGGGCCGTCGTTGCGGTGGAGATGCGGCCTGGAAGTGGGAGGAGTGGAGGTTGAGGAGAATGGGCAGGTGGGCGAGGTCCGCGAAAATTGCGGGTCCCAGACGGGTTCAGGGCTCTGAGGGAAGAGAGCTCAACAGGGCCGCCCGGGGGCTGAAGGGGTTAAGCACGGCGCTGACTCAGAAGCTGTCCGCCCCTCCACAGCAGGGAGCGACCCACAGGGCAGGGCTGACCTCTCCCGTCCTGCCTGCTGCTCCCCTCAGCAGTGTATTCCTCTCTGTCTGCCTGTTCTGCGCCCCACTCTGTCTTTGGTGAATCCTCCCTATCTCTCTCTCTCTCTCACACACACACCCCCCTTTGGCCTGCACCCCAGGTCTTGTATGAATTAATTAAAAAAAAATACATAAGAAGTTCACATACAGTCTAAATAAGACTCAGATACCAAGACACATTTCATCAAAATCAAGATTCAGGTATTTAAGAAGCATCTTGACCTCCTGATATCTGGATCACAGAGTCGGTGTTCAACAGAAAGATGCTGTGCTTAGCTAATGTGAATGCACAAGAATTGCACGCTGTTATGAAAAGCTCACCTGCTCTTTCATCACATGCCTGTGAAGATTTCTTTTGGCAACAACGTCGAATAATATTCATGGCTCCATTATTACCATGAAGACACATGAGGATATTAATAAACTAATAGTGTATTTCCTGAAGGAGATAATGAAATGAGTTGAACTTCAGCACGTTTCTCTGCCTAACTTTTATACCCACAATGAAGTCCACGACTCCTCTGGGTGATTGAGATCAATCTTTTCAGTCAGCCACAACCAGTATATCCATTTAGATTTTCTTCATCCATGACACATGACACCATCATAAATGTATTGAAGCAATTAAGATGTAAAGAAACTCATCATCTGGAAAGGGTCTCTTAGATGTTTGAAGCATGAAAGTCAAATACATGACTCCATGTACATACCAGGAGAAAGCCATAGAGTGAAGTGATTTAGGGCTGAATTAAATTCATCAGGTCTCTTCACAATATCTCAAGTATGGTTGATAGAAAAAGGACAAAGAAAATAACTATACAGGTCCCCAAATCATTGTCTTGAACTCATATATTTCTTTAAAGATTGATTTTATTTATTTATGCATGCAAGAACCAAGGGGTAGGCCAGAAGTGTAGGGGGTGAGAGGATTCCCCAAAGACAGAGTGCAGAGCAGAACAAGCAGATTGAATGAAACACACTGCTGAGGGGAGCAGCAGGTAAGTCAGGAGAGGTCTGCTGTTCCATGTGGTTAGCTCCCTGGCCAGGGACCAAATCATGCTGCAGTGGCTGCTGACAGCTTCATAGAGCTGTGACTTAACTCTCTGCACCACCAGGAAGGCCCTCAGACTTTTCAATTATGCTAATATTTAGTGTTTTCATGTTGGCTTATGCGCCATAACAATTTTCTGACTTAAGGAATGTAAAGTGTTTCTCACTTCCTACGGTCTTGCAATATCTTAATATGAATCTAAATTGCATGATAAATTATTTAATCATATTTTCACTTCTTTCAAGTTTCCAGTATGAAAATCTGGTGGTTTCAAAATTCATATTTGGACAAACCACTCATCACTTTCCATTTACAGTTACTCCAGCTTTACACTCTCTGATGTTTACTATGATCTGACTTCTGGTTAATCATTTTGACACTTATGGTTAAACTTCTGGTTAAAGACACCAAAGTTGGGACCTCACTGGTGGCACAAGGGGTTAAGACACAACCTATGAAGCTATACGCAGCCACTGCAGTACAAGCTGGATTCCCGGTCAGGGAGCTACCCACATGGTGCAGCAGACCCCTCCTGTCTCGCCTGCTGCTCCCCTCAGCAGTGTATTTCAGTCAATCGCCTGTTCTGTTCCCCACTCTATCTCTGATGAATCCTCTCACACACCCCCACCTCTGGAAGATACCCCAGTTCTTGCATGCATAATAAAATAAATCTTGAATAAAAGACACTAAAGTGAAAAAAATTGACTTCGCAATTTTAACATTTCTCTCTGATGAGAATTCTCTAGTGTAGAGTAATACTTGACTTGCGGTGAAAGGCTTTGCCACATTCTTCACATTTGTAAAGTTTCTCCCCAGTATTGCCTCGGACCAGCACAGCAGTAGACGATGAGGCCGTCTCAGGGTTGAGAGACTGCGCAGGGTGGTCAGGGATTCGGCTAAAGAAATGACAAACAGACACACTTCAAGAGAGAGTATAAATCTGAGTGCGCTTTTATTAAGTTAGTGGTCAGTATATATATGTTTTTTCTAAAGGCATAGGAACAGTGAACATCAAAGAGATCAGTTTGCTCATAGGCTTAGCTTAATTGACAGGGCAGTGACTTATGTCCGAAGTTACACCTGGACCTAGCCTTATTCCTAATTGGACAGGTTATTAACTCTATATTTTTGTACTAATTACTACTACTATTACTTACTTATGTTTACTCATAATTAATTGTCATAGGTAAATTTATATTATAATGCAGTTAATATCAAAGGTACTAAGGTTAAGCACATAATAGAAAGATTATTAAACCAACAATTCTATTATAACACAGTGTTTAGTAATGTTTCATTTGCATTAGCCTAATTATTAAATTACGTATGTTTTTTAATTAGCAATCAATGACCAGAAAAAGGAAAGATTTTAGAAAGACAGTTGTAGCAGAATAAAGTTTGTGGGCCTTGAGAAAGCGAGATAAGGTTCCAGGTGGTCAGCATTTCTTTTAACCATCTTTGTGGCGGCTTCTGGTGGTCGTTATCTCTTGGCAGGCATTCGGCTTCTCTGCATCTTAGGGAGTTTGCTGTTCTCCCCCTGCGCGCATGGTTCCTTGCCCACGCCGGACCTCAGGGACCATGGCAACAGCCATTAGCCCTGAAGGTCACTGCAGGGGGGGGTGCAGCAGGTCCCCCTTTGTTTTTAGAACGAAGTTGGTAAGCATACATGTCACACTGGATGCATGTGAAGTGAAGTGAGCGGACACAGAAGGGAACAAACAAACAGAGAAGCAGGACAAGTAGGGAAAGAACAAGGAAGGAGAGAACAAGATGATACCAGTGAGTAGGAGTTAAAGATTGGAGAGTGGAAGCCAGAGAATGGGCAAAGGAAGAGACTGAAGTATCTAGGTGAGATTTACTGACAGCAGAGATTTTAGACTGAAGAGATGTAAGGTCATGAGAGAGGTCATTGTCATGCCAGATGCCAAATAGGTGATGTTTAGTAAGATTCCAATGTAGAGAGGAGTTATAACGCAAAGGTGTAACACAAATGAAACGAAACTGAACGTGGCAGTGAGTGGATAATTGCTGCTTAAGCAGCTGAACTTCATCTCCAATGGCAATGACAATTTCTTCCAGGGCATTTATCTTTCTTTCTAACTTGTAGTCAATGTCCCACTGCACAGAGAGTGCCATGGTCTCATTTTTGGTAAGGTCATTTACAAAAGAAGCTGTCTTAGCTTCCTGAATGAAAGCAACAGGGGAAGTAGCTAAGGAGGTAACCAGGGAAATTAGAGCAGCAATTTCTAGAATAAGGGTGGCAATAAAACGTTTAGGACGAAGAAGAGCATGTACTTCATTTAAAACTTGCATGGCAGTATTATTATACCAAGGCATATCATGTAAATCAACAGGTAACATAACATAGGGGGTATTTTAAGTAAGATTACAACAGGATACAAACGAGCAAGAGAGGGGATAATACAATTAGTAACAATGCAGCCAGAACAATGAATGGAGTAAGAAGTCCCACGCAATTGAATGCGTGCAGCTGAGGCATTCCCCAGAAGTATAACAAAGGGGTATCCAACGTAGGCACGCACTGGGATCTTATCGGTGTCCTGTCCAGGTTGTTTGAAGTGTACATCATTAATGGCAGCGAAAAGACAAAAGAGTTCAGGCTTTATGACAGAGCTTTCTATTCAGGGAACCGGGTTATTTAGTCCTGCCAATGGAGGCAAGCTTCCTCATCATTTTCAGAGGTCTCTGGAACCCTACGAACAAAGCAGCAGTTTTTCCACATTTTAGTTTAGCTCTATGTCAACTCCCTGGAAGAATTGTACTCAAAGTCACACAAAAGGTTAGTTCTGTTAGGAAAAAAAAAATATATATATATATATATATTAAAAATAGATATTTTAATGGTCTTAAAAATAAAGTGATAAGTGTTCAAACAAATATTAAAAGGTCTAAAAGAATTAAAAGTAACAAAGCTAAGTAAAGTGTTGAACATCTGAAAAAGGAATTTTAGGAAAACAAATTTTGTATACTCAAATGATTTATATTATTTTAGTGTTTTGGGAACATATTAGCTGAAATAATGTTTGGTTAATAGTAACTGAGTTATAATCTAATGGGTTGTTTCAAAACATGTACTTATACACTAGCATTGGGTATAATCTTGGCCCTTGTCTAGGTTAATAATGTTGGGTACATAATGTCTTTTAGTGTCTGAAGAACTAAGGTTTTTGAGATGACAATTAAAGGTTATGATTTAATTGTCAATATTATCACTTAGGGCTAGAATTTTTATAGAGATTAAATATGGTTGTTTTTGCTGTTTTCTAGTATTTATGACACAGCTTCCCAAACATTTAATTAAAGTAAAATTTGGTAGCCTGTCATTTAATCAATTAAAGGAAATTTTGTGGAACCTCAGCAAAGTTTTAGAGACAGTATGAATTCTGTGATGTTGACTTAAAAGTGATGGTTGGTAGAAGGCTTTGCCTATATTCTTCACATCTCCAAGGTTTCTCCCCAGTATGAATTCTATGATGCCGAGTAAGACATGACTTATTGTTAAAGGCTTTGCCACAATCTTCACAATTGTAAGGTTTCTCCTCAGTATGAATTCTGTGATGCTGACTAAGATCGTTAAAGGCTGACAGTTGGTTAAAGACTTTTCCACATTCCTCACATCTGTAAGGTTTCTCCCCAGTATGAACTCTCCAATCAGGAAAGGTGACACAGCACAGGAAGGTGTTACTACAGTCAGGATGCCTGTAGGCTTTTCTCCAGCATGAATCCTTAGATGGTTAGTCAGCTGTGGATGCCAATACAAGGCTTTACCATGCTCTTCATACTTCTGAGGTTTCCCTCTCTGATGTTCAGTAAGTCTTGGGCACCATTTAGTAGCTTTGCCATATCCTTTACAATTGTAGAGTTTCTCATGAAGTACATGATGCTAGAAAAGTATTGAGGGCTCCTCAATAGGATCCTGTGTAGATTTTTTTCATCTTCCTTTCTAATTCTCTGATGTTGACAATGACATGACTGAAAGTTTAAATCTATCCCACATTGACAATGTTTTGAATAATCATTTGCATTATGGACTAGGGGACTTCCCATATGTTCCCACATTCTTCTCAGAGATTGTGTCTTATTAAAAATGTCACATGGATCTTTGCTAACAGAAACATATTTATCTCTACCTGCAACAGACATAAAATGGAGTTTGACCCAACATGGTTTACACGCAGGATCACTTTGTACAGGAGGAAGTGTGTTATGGATAATTGTCCCTTATTGGGAATCTTCATTGCAACAACTGTTGTGCCCTTCACATGTATCTTGACATGTCTGGTCTTTCAATAATTCTAAATTCTCAAAGGTGCCGATTACATCTCTTCCCGGTCCCACAGTTAGCAACAAATCTTCTGTACCTGACTGTGGCACGGAGACCTGGTGGTCTTGAGAAGACAGAGCAGGAAGACAACGAGGAATAACTAGCCCACACACAGCACTCAAGACAAAACACTTTAAATATTTCAGACATAAAATGAATACCATAAAAGACCCCCGACATGATGCTTGGATAGGTAACATCAGCCCGAGACAGCAACACACAGGCTTATGCATAGGTAACATCCTTAGGGAAAGGTAAATACACAGCAAATACAGATATAACCCTATAGTCAAAATATTGTTTCTGCTTCAGAATTTGGAAATATGACACCAAAAAAAAATCATAGATTCATGTTAGAGAATACAAATATCATGAAATATAATTTGTGATGTCAGTAGGGGTCGAAATGTTAAAGAGTGGAGTTTTGGTATGCAGCTGAATTTACATGGTTTTCACTTTAGGAAAGACTGTCATAACTTTTCAACATGCTATGGAATCCCCAGGAGAAAAAAGATACCGTAAAATACATGGAAAAGAAATGAAAACAGAGACTGATGTGATGTGTACATAGGTTGGATGACAATGCTTTACAATGTTTGTAAATAATATTACAAACCAATATACCTCCATTAACATCCAAATGTGTGAAAGTGGAGGGAAATCACCAACAAGAAAGGAGAGAGGAATTAAAGCATATAAGAAAAGGTCAAAAAAAATACTGTATAAAATGGCTGAGAATACTGCATCTGCAGTGGCGCAGCGGTTGAGCGCTGGGCTGCAAAGCTGCCTGCACCCTCTGCAGTACCAGTTAGATCTCTGGCTGCCGGCAAGGGTCCCACATGGTGCGCAGACCTCTGATGCCGTCCACTGCTCCCGTCAGCAGTGTACTTTGTCAGTCTGCCTGTTCTGTTCTCCACTCTGGTTCTGGTGAATTCTCTCACCCTCCGGTGCTTCTGACTGTACCCCGTGCTTGAATAAATAATAAATAAATCTTTAAAAAATTTAAAAAAATAAAACGACTGAGAATAGAGGAATCATTATTTTTTTTTTAAATAGAGGCATGTTTTTATTTATTTATTTGTTTGTTTGTTTGTTTTGTTTATACATGCACTGGGTACAGTCAGAAGCGCGGGAGGGTGAGAGAATTCACCAGAGCCAGAGCGGGGAGCAGAACAGGCAGAAGGACTGAAGCACACTGCTGAGGGGAGCAGCGGGCAGCAGGAGAGGTCTGCGCGCCATGTGGGACCCTCCTCTGGTGGCCAGGGAGCAGCCGGGCATCGAACCGGCGCTACAGAGGCCGCGGGCAGCTTCGCAACCCAGCGCTCAAACGCTGTGCCACCGGGAGGCCCAGGAATCATTCTTTAATAGTTAACACCTCCCTTTCAGTAATACTTTGAAGTAAATAAAAGTCCACAACACAATGACAAATGTGTCTGAATGAATTAAAAATAACACCAATTCAATCTTAACTATATGACACTCAACATAGGTTTCAGCGCACCATGTGGAATGTAAGGATGGAACTACATTCTGAGAAGACTAATCATGAAAATGGAGCCGTGTGGATCACTCTAATGATATGATCTGAGTCTAAAGCATCACAGAATGAAAAGAATGACCCCAGAAAATAACAGAAAATTACCTGTATTGAGAAGTCATTGTAATATTACCTATACACTAAGATGTGGTCCTGAAAGTGTGCCGCAAACGAAGACAGAACTCAATGCAGAAGATGAAAGCAATAAAATCAAGGGGAGGTTCAAGGCCCAATTGCAATGGGAAGGAAAATAATGTTATAAATTCAGGAATCAGAGTTGACAAACAGGGGTGAAAAAGAATTCGAAATGAAAGGTGTGGTATATAGACAGGATGAAATACTACTGAGCTATGAGAAAGGATACATCTGGCCATGTGCAACAACAACAATGGAATGCTGGGGAGGATTATGCTCAGTGAAAAGAATCAGAAGGAGAAAGACTAACTGGATGAATTCACTCCTATTTGGACTTTGGAAAAACAAGGCAAAGAATCTGACAATACAAACCAAAATAAACTCTAGAAATAGGACTGCAGAATGAGTGTACAAAGAGGGAAGGACAGTGGGTGTGGGTACAAAAGTGGCAGGGGATTCAAAGATTTATGTAGAAGCCCACAATGCACTGGTGCTGGGTATGGTGGTGACAGACATTTGAGGATATGAGAATCTTTTCCCTGAATCACGAAGAGTGAGGTACACCCATGGTTCCTTGATTCCAAAAAACTAAGCAATACTGAGAAAACATTGCAACAGAGAAAACTCCCCAAAACATGTGATTGAGAAAACAGTACTAAGAGGTAAATTTAAAGCATTAAACAATTACACTAGCAATAAGAGAGAATCTCAGTTGAGCAACATAACTTCACACCTCTAGGAATTAGAAAAAGAACAATTTTAGCTCCGTATTGGCAAAAAGGAAGACATTAAAAAAATAAGAAAAAATAAATAGAACATTATGGCCAAAAAGCAGGTGCTTCTCTATGAAAGGAAGTCTGGAGTATGAAAGATGAACAAAATGGATAAAACCTAAGTTCAATTCAGTAAGAAGGAAAGGCAGAGGCCTCAAGTGTCAGAGAGGAGACACCCCAGGGAGAGCAAGACTAAGCCTCCAAGACAAAACAGGAGCATGTCTGCAACCCCTGAAACAGAGCTCCCCAGACATTTAGGATGGATGGATGCGTTCCTGTGGACCAGCTGTGTCCTCTGCCATATTCATTCCACCTACCTGGGAGGAGGACGGAATCTACACTTCTCTTCACATCCCAGGGCTCCATTTTTTTGCTCCAACAAGATGACCAGCTCGGGCGTAGACACAGCAAGACCTGTTTATTAGGACCGGTGATATGAGATGGCCTGAAGATTCTCAAATTCCTAATACAGTATTGTATTCAGTAGAGGGGACAGTATAGAAGGTTCTGGAAAAGGATCACTGCAAATACATTTTCTGACAGCACCTTTACCAGAAATCATTGAAATTTTCACATCCTAAGAACCATTTTTACACCTCTGAGTCCTAGCAATGTGATAGAGAAGCTGGGATTTTGCTTGTAGCAATAACGCTTAAGTCACATATTTTCTTGAATGAGCACTCATACAGAGTGCAGGCTGCAGATCATCCTAAGACAGGAGAAATTTAAGCCATGATGAAACATCATGAGACTTTGTTTCCAACAAACCCACACTGTTGTTCTTTAAAATAGGGACCTAAATGTATCCGACAATTCTGGGCATCCCTGGAGCACATCCACACGCGGTACAGGAAACACTGAGGGCAGATGAGGAAATCTAGAGGGATATTCTCCTCACCCAAGGACACCACATTTCTGTAGGCCTCTAGCATCACGTCCCTGTACAATTTCCACTGCAGCTGGTCCAGGACCTCCTGCTCCTTGTGTGAGAATTCGATGGGCACATCTCTGCAGGTCAAGGGTTCCTGAAATCAAAATATACAGTTACTACATGGCCACCAGCAGAACTCTACGTAGGACACAAGGTGAAAAGAGAGTTGTGAGGAGCCCCATGGTGGCACAAGGGGTTCAGTACAGCACTATGAAGCTATGACAACCATTGAAGGATAAGTTTGATCCCTGGCCGGGGAACTGACTCACATGGCACAGCAGACCTCTCCTGTCTCTCCCGCTGCTCCCCTCAGCAGCGTATTTCAGTCAGTCTGCTGTTCTGTTTCCCACTCTCTGGTGGATCCTCTCACACCCTGCATCTCTGGCCTGTACCCCAGCTTTTGTATGCATAAATAAATAAATATTTTTAAAAATCATTTTATGGCGCCTCCCTGGTGGGGCAAGGGGTTGGGATGCAGGCCATGGGACTCTCCTCGGCCACTGCAGCACAGGTTGGATCCCCGGACAGAGAGATACCCATGTTCACAGCAGACCTCTCCTGCCTCCCTGATGCTCCTCCCAGCTGTGTATTTCAGTCAGTCTGCCTGTTCTGTTCCCCACTCTGTCTCTGGTGAATCCTCTCACCCTCTCAAGCATCTGGCCTGTACCACGATTCTTGTATTATAAGAAATATTCCTTAAAAAATAAATAAATAAAAGAAGGACTGCGGTCCTCACTCTAACTTTACTTTAAAGCTCACCCAACTTTCCTGAGAGTCTGACAAGCCTCCCAGTGATAAGTCGCACAACACTGTCCCTAACTAAACTAAGAAACTAGTATTTTTCCCTGGCCTTGGGACTCTGCACACACAGCAAGCCAACCCTCCTGCTGAGTGCCTGGCTTTGTGCCTTACTCCAGCATTTCAGGGCTCCCAGGGTGGGTGTTGCTCTAACTAGGGACACAGGGGATTTAGAACAGCTCCTCTGCGAGGAACAAATATCCCACCGACATTCTTTCAGTCTAAGGGCACTCGAAAAATGGGCTGCGTCCCTGGTGCAATGTGCTCTCATGTCCCAACCCCAACACTTGCTATTCTACTACTGCTCAGCTTGTGACTAAGCCTACACTCAGCTGCTGGCCCCAATGACTTTGCTCCAGGGCAGGGAGGGGGCAGCCCAGACCCTGCAACCCTGCCTGCTCTAAACAGGTTCTGCCATCCTGCTTCCTTCCTTCTCAGTCTCCTCTGCAGCTTCTCCTCTCCCTGCTCAGCTCCACCCTCCCTTGGGTGGGGCAGGGAACCTGGAACCTCCCCTTTCCTGGGGACCCCCTGTTACAACTTCACCTGTGACCGAGGGCCCTTAGCCGCTGCTGTACTTCTCATTCTCCTCTTCAAATCTTAACATACACAATCTCCTACTCAAATTTGTTTCTTCTAAGCGAGGGGGAGCGCCTCAAGGTTAAACTCCTCCTCCCAACAAACAGCTCACCCCTCCAAGGGGAACAGCCTGTCCAGATGCCCCCCCTCACCTCCTTCCAGAACCACCAACAGGCAGCTCAGGGACGATTGTCAGGGAGACCATCTCCCGGGCCCTTGGAGGCAGGGCCAGCTCTACATGCCACTCCAGCAGGGAGCAGCTCCTGAAAATGGACCTCCTCCCTTCAACTCCCCAAGAGATTTCGGGCTGGATAAGGTTGGGGGGGGGGGATGATGGAGGACAAGAATGGAAAGACTGGAAAGGACTAGCCCCAAGGCCAAATCCTGACTCACACTAGGAGGTGGGGGTCGAGCACATGCACAGGACCCTTACCCAGCTGTGCAGGTCGGACCCTCAGGCGCCAGCGCCTTGTCAGGAGGCAGGAAGGGAGCAGGGTCCCTGCTCTAGGGAGTGGGGCACAGGCCTGAGGGGAAGGATGTGGAGACGGGCCCACCCCGGAATCTCTGGTCCCTTTCTAGCGCTGCCTGTTGCCCAACATCCGCAGCAAGCAGCCGCTCCCGGAGGAGCGCGCCTCCCAAGGAGAAAGGGGCTGTGGCAGGGCAGGCTCCGCACAGGCCCGGGGCAGCCGCCCCCCTGCCCGCCCGGGACCACGCAGGAGCCTCTTCTCACCAGCTCTCACCTCTGTGGGGCGCAGCCTCCTGGCGGGTGGCCGGTACCTGCCAGGACGTCTCCAGGGACCTCCCTCAGCGGAGGCCGCTCTCCTCAGGGCTGCCACCTGCACCCGCGCAGGCCTCGCTCAGCAAACCTGCCCCTTCCCTTCCCCTGAGAAACCTGCCCGGTAAACACAAGTAACGACTCCGTCTCGTGGAGGAGCGACCTGGGGAACTCCCGGGGGCTGCTGAAACACGGTCTGGGGAAACATTTCCCAGAGTGAACCCCAGGATCTCAGGCTCCAAAAACCCCATCACCCCCACTCTATTCCCCGAGACCTACAGGGAAAAAAAGGCAGTTCTGGAAGGACACTAGGGAAGATCTCTGGCGCCACCTAGTGCCCAGAACAAAATCACCACATTCTGAGAGGGGCTGGGCCGCGCCTACGGGGTAAGAAGGGAAACCAGGCGTGGAGCAGGACCCCATCCTGGAGCGGAGAGCCAGACGCAGGACCAGGAGCCGGGACGCGCCCTAGCAGCGGGCACTGCACAGGGCGACAGCCAGCGTTTTGGACCTGACAGCCTGGAACTGAGCCTAGAGCGCAGCATTCGGGGCCGGATCCACACAGCTGCGGGCACAACGCCGGGTGGACGCGCTGCAGACACAGCACCCGGCTTGAAGGACAGCCCCTGTGTGGAGGCGCCCCCCACCCTTTTCTCAGAGAACCACTGGGGAAAAGCAAGGTCAGCAAGTGCAGGTCTCTGGCGCCACCCGGTGACCAGAACAAAGCCACCGAGGAGCTGATTCCCTGCTGGAACTGAGTAAACACAGAGGGCGGGAACCACCAGGGGCAGAGCCCAGCAACAGGGCATCAGCGCGCTGGTCGTGTTTTTTGCTCGCGGTGCTGGACTTGGTCCGGTGAACAGATGTCAGCAGGTTGACTCTGTGCTGAGGACTCTCCAGGCCAACCATATGGAACTTAAGCATCCGTGCACTTCTGCGATCTGCTGGGGGTGTGGGGGTGTCATTCCTAAATCCAATTCCCCCAGATACCAAGGGATGACTATAAAGTTTCTGGGGCATCAAAAGTAAACATGGAGGGCCTCCCTGGTGGTGCAGCAGTTGAGCACTGGGTTGCCAAGCTGTCCGCTGCCTCTGCGGCGCCGGTTCGAAAGCCGGCTGCTCCCAGGCCACCGGAGGAGGGTCCCACATGGCGCGCAGACCTCTCCTGCTGCCCGCTGCTCCCCTCAGCAGTGTCCTTCGGTCCTTCTGCCTGCTCTGCTCCCTGCTCTGGCTCTGGTGAATTCTCTCACCCTCCCGCGCTTCTGACTGTACCCAGTGCTTGTATAAATAAATAAATATTTAAAAAGAAAAAAACTAACCTTCAACAAGAAATACCGAACGTCCACACAACCTGAGCACTGTTAACTTTTCACATACACCAGGAGATGTACTGTTGCCCCAAACAGGTACCCCCAGGTTAGGCTATGGTTTCCAAGCACAGCTGGTTCAGGGCAGCTTGTTCTCCATAGTTCTCAGGGCCAAAAAATTTCTTTCCTAACTATATCTTTAACAATTTTTACTTCTTTTGTGACAGTTCATGCATAAGAACAATAAGCCAATTGTCACCTGGGTCCCAATTAGGTTTTCACAGGCCAATGAATAACTAACTTACTTCAGCATTAACCAGGAACAAAGAGGAGACCTTTAGCAGGCTTTGTCATGGAGACTCCCTAGTTCAGATCTTCTTTGGGAGGTGCAACAACTCCCCTCTTCTGGGAAGTACAACTTTCCCTCTTCAGGGGAACACAGGCACTCTGCTTCTCAGAGTCTCTCCTAATGCCCTGACGATGTCAAGAGACAGCATGGGAGGCGCAGCCTCCCGCAGAGCAGGCTGGGAAGGGTGAGAACAAGCGATAGAATAAAGAGGGCTGCCTTCACTTGCTCATGCAAAGAGGAGGATACCAATGTACAGAAATGTCCGGAAAAACAGGTCCGGAGACCCATGTCCAAGGCCTCAGTTCCAATGAACGAAAGCAAGAAGTCACTATAAACGAGTGGGGGACACACTTGGAGGTCACAGGCCAGCTGGTGAGAGGGAAGACCCCGGAGAGGACTGAGGACAGAGCAGGGAGGCTCAGGACAGCTGACACCAAAGACTGACACAGCTGAGGCAGGTCCACTCCTGCTGGGCTCTTCCCAGGGATGTTCTTCATAAATGCTCCGGTGCAGTGGCACGCGATGAAATGTTACTCAGGCATCAAGAAAGACAAACTCGCGCCATCTGCGGTAACAAGGATGGAGCTGGAAGGGTACACTAGCCCATGGAGTCAGAAGGAAGAAGATAAATACCAGACGGTCTCACTGATATGTGGAATATAGAGAAAGCAAAAAAAAAACAATCAAGAAAAAGACAAAACTAGCAAACTGACCACAGAGCTGAGGTGCACAGCAAAGGAAGGAGAGTGAGGGGGGCGAGACAGGAGAGGAAAACACAGTGATGGTCCACGGGTGATGTGGCAGTAGGAGAGCTAGGGGGACTACTGAAAGAAAAAAGAAATGCTCTGGTGCCGAGTGAGGCCTGGAGGTAGGGCACCTGAGAGCTGAGAGGAGACAAGAGGCTGCCCACACAGAAGAGCCTTCATGACTGATGCCTGAGGGGAAAGTGTGTGCAGGGGCCTGGGTTAGGGGACTGACGGAAAGGGTGACATGGCAGGCGACGAATACTTGAAGACCACAGGTTTGGGAAAATCACAACAGGAAAGCACCATAAAGGGAGGATGTGATCCCAGGTCCACCCGGGGGTGTGTGGCACTCCATGTATGGTTGGTGTTAAAATTCTTCTAGCAAACGCCAACAGCTTGATAGCTGTGATCAGCTCTAGAAGGGAATCAGCCAGACTTTTGAAAGTTCCCGGAAGAATTCCTCCCTCATTCCTTCTCATGTGCCATCCCCCTCATACAAGCTGTTCTCAGAACACAGATAAAGGCCCGTCAGCCAGAGAGGAACCATACTCCAGACATCTCATGTAATGCTTACTTATCTCCAGAACCTTCCATGTCTTAGATGTGCCTTTCATCTGTCCCCCCCTGATCCATTTACCCTTGGCATGGACTCCAGGTCAGCTCCTTCCCTCTAGCGCCCATGCTGCCTCCCATCACCTCCAGCGATCCTCTTTTCTCATCCCTTCCCTGCCACTTGCTTCTTCTCTAATGCATATAGTTCTAGCACTTCAGAGACAGACTGATTCCCAGCTGGTCTTCCCGGATACTCTTTGGTTCCTGAGGAAATCTAAATGTCAAGTCCAGATTCCTTAGCCCGGCACACTGAAGACTGACCGACTTATCCAGGCACCCCTGTGAACTTCCATATTCCAGGTGAGCAGCCTCAGACGACCTAGAAAGACTGGGTCACAGGTCTTGTTCCCACCAATAATCTCATTAGCTACTGTTCCTGCTGGTCCTTGATGTTGTGGTCACGAGTGATTCACCAGGCCCAAGGCAGTCTCAGATAGCCCTTGTCTGATTTCCACCCATCAGTGTGCTCTGAAAGGATATTAGAACTTGGGGAATTCAAGACTGAGGACTGCTAAGCGCCCGCAGGCTT